TGTTAGTCATTGGGCCAAATACTAGTATGTTGCAATAACGCTGATTTGCTGTCAATACTACTGGTAAATAGTGAAGATCGATAATGTTGTTGTTAATGCCCTAATGATTGAATGAAAGCATTGCCTAAAGCTTTCAATAATTTCCACAATACTTTGTATTCCTAACTGGATGTCCAGGGATAAACGTGCTTTTTAATAACAATAAAAGGAGTTCGGCCACCCAATAATGACAACTAGGCAGTCTAAACCACAATATTTACTTCTGGAATAATGAGTTGAAAATAATAATAAGTAGAAATTTAGTGTCAAAGTCAAGCCTTCCCGCTGAGTAGATGGGTTGATATCTGGCCAAGTAACGAAGGGTTCACTTGTCCTTCCACATACGATTCAGCGGGAGTTAACAATTAGTATTATTAGAGCTACTTACCGAGGATAAGTAATTCGTCAAGGTCGAAGCAGTCTGCCGAAGTCGTCGACAAATTTTGTTGTTCAACTCCAGCTACAGCGGACGCAGCATGTCGCATAACTGCGGTAGCCACTACCGGAAGCTGCAGTTCACAGGCCAGTAGACGTTCTACCATATCAACTACACAACCGATGATTAATTCGAAATCGGGTAACCGACTAAGACGCCAGATAGCCTCCGCTTCTTCTTCAGCGGCAGCAGACTGGGCCTGCTTTTTCCATGATATGAGTTCAGTGACAACTTCAAATCCGGCAGGTGTTGATTCGTCTTCCAAGTGCCTACTGCTTAATTCTATCTGATTCATGTCCAAACTTTTGGTTTCGATACTATCAACAACATTAGCTGGTGTCAATAAGGCTACTGGATCTCCAGTTTGCAAGGCGCGTTTCTCAGCTACTAATAATCCGTTGGCCAGATCTAGATAAGCCAAGCTTAATCGAAATTGGCAAGCCATCTTAGATCGGTAAAATAGTTTAGGAAGTAGAACTGCCAACTGGTTGGGCTGCTGATTTTGCAGCAGAAAGTAATTTGATTGATAATTTCGACTATCTGGCTGAAACTGCTGCTGCTGGGTTTCATAATACCTTGATAGAAGTGTTGAGATAGCGGTGGACAGAAGGCTCAAATCTGGGCCTTGTGGCTGGCCAGGTGCAAGCAGGCTGCTGAGGTAAGCAGGATGGAGAAGGCCGCCCGGACTGATTATTTACATAAAAGATAGAGAATGACAATTAGGATACGGTTGTGTTGATAATTAGAAATTATTTGGCTGGCGGAAGAATATATCATACGCAAATAATGTGATAGCCTAAGAAGAGTTTCTACTCAATCTCCTACCTCTTTTATATCAACCAAGAGTTCAGGCATTTCCGATTTCTATACTCATATAC